AAGTGCTGGGTGGAGATTAGCTTAGCTCATCGGGATATTAGCTGTTTTTCAAGTTGAATAAAACTGCCTAGTTGCTCATCGAAGTGACTCGTTTAGTACCTTAACCTATTTTGTGTCATGATTTCACACGTGTTGTACTATCTCTACTATCTCTATCTGTACTTGTCAGTGTTGAGCAAGTTTAGAAGGTGTTTCATAACATGCTTGGGTTATTACTTGTACAGAAATAATACAAACAAACAGTCATAAGGAATGAAGTCTGTAAATATTGTTAATGTAGTGCAATTCAACCAAAAAGCAATGTTGTTTTCAGTATGTCAGAGTACTCTTGACAGAGACCTTTCTCTTAACAAGTGTTTTTGTTCTTATACAATTGTATTGTTAGCAGTAATAACGGTACAAGCCATTTTCATTGTATTTAGTGTCTCTGAAGTGAATAAAATGTGTTCTGAATAATTTTGTCTGCTTTGAAAAGGCCTGTTTTGTCCTTTTGTCAATAACAATGACTTCTTCACTCACTGGTATAATGTTGTACACTATTTGTTTTTCACCTTTTAAAGGTGAATCATTTCTGTTGTTCTCCGACGTCCAACGCACATCCCAGCTAAAACCATGCCATTCCCTTTTGGGAAGTCTCAGAAGAGCCCTGCAGAGATTGTGAAGAGTCTGAAGGAGAATGTGGCATACTTGGAGAAGCTGGAGTCCTCTGAAAGCAAGAAATGTGAAAAGGTTGGTCTTTTTTTATGTCTTTATGTTTTTACATCTCGATGCAAATGTTTCAGCAAATTGTGGACTGTGACGGAGTCAGAAAAACTCACAGTTTTTCCTGTAGGTTGCAGAGGAAGTATCAAAAAATCTTGCGTCGTTGAAGGAGGTGCTGTGTGGCACTGGAGACAAGGAGCCTCAGACTGAGGCAGTGGCCCAACTGGCTCAGGAGCTGTACAACACCAACCTCCTCATTTCCCTCATAGCAAACCTACAGAGGATTGATTTCGAGGTGCATATCCTTGCTTTTGAAATGTTTGAAATACAACTACTTCCATCTTGCTGTAAGATATATTGCTCTGTGCACTAACCACACATTTGTTGTTTGCTCTCTTTGATTTATAACACGTTGTTCACCAAAGGGAAAGAAGGATGTGGTGCATCTGTTTAGCAACATAGTGCGTCGCCAGATTGGCGCTCGCCCCCCGACTGTGGAGTACATCTCTTCCCACTCACAGATCCTCTTTATGCTGCTGAAAGGGTGAGTTTCCAGACTCCAGGGCATAGTCATAGATCAACACTTTCAGAAGCCATTGATTAGCCTGGCTTTTCCAGTTGATGTTATGGGAGACTGTGGTTGTATGGTTATTTTAGGACCATAATTTTCCCATTTCCTGTCCACGTGGCTGAGCTGCCAATGGCATTTCACTTTTACAGCACAAACATATCTAGTTATTGACAGTTTGGTGTGATATTATGTTTGAATGATGACTTCTGTGGTTTTATATATACGTATATACAAATAAATGTGGTTCTCACAGGTTAGAGAAATAACAGGGCTTATTTATTTATTTATCTCTTGAACGCAGCTATGAAACCCCAGAAGTGGCCCTTAACTGTGGCATGATGTTGAGGGAATGTCTGCGTCATGAACCTCTGGCCCGAATCGTTCTGTTCTCTGAGGAGTTCTACTGCTTCTTTCGCTATGTGGAGCTATCTACTTTTGACATTGCCTCTGATGCCTTCTCCTCTTTTAAGGTATGAAATTTACACAAAATGTAATCCATTTTGACTTGTAAACTTTGCCTTAGGAACAATGCACTAATAAATTTATAGCAAAATATTTTATATTTAATCACCTGAGGCCTTTATGCAGTAATGCCATAAGACTGTTTAAGGTTATTTATTTATATTCAATTTAAATGAAACAAAAAATATAAAAAATACACTGGTAGGTGTGTACAACAAATTATTATGAAGAGAAAAAAAGGAACAATCCCACGCTCTGTCATACTTCGCAAAAACAAACTTTCTTTATTACAATGTTTTGGTTATGTGGCAGAAGCCACAATAGTTTTTTTTTTTTTTTTAGTTGACGACTCATTTCCAATGTTGTTCATCCATTTGAGCATCTATGGGGTCAACATTTTCAAGCCTCAAAAAATACATAAAGAGATAATAAAAGTAATCCATATGAATCAAACATTTAATCCAAGTCTTCTGAAGAGACACAATTTAAACATTGATCAACATGCATACATAGAGCACATCAAATACGATAAAGGGAAGATCAGAGGTGTGTGCTTGATGCACGAGAACAAATGAGGCAGAATCTGCATAAGAGAATGACAGAATTTAAATTTTTGGTTGACTTACCTCTTCAAATCGAAATTCGAAAACCTTTCAAAAGAGAAAATGACAAAAGTGCATTTACCTTAAGACTTTGTTTTTAGGATCTGCTGACAAGACACAAGATCATGTGTGCAGATTTCTTGGAGACAAATTACGACAGAGTGAGTTACTCTTGTTTCCCAAGATTTCATTTGCAAGTGCTTTTGTGTACAAGTGCTTTAGTGGCTGTTCTACTTTATGGACAAATGTATGATGATTGATCATTTCATAAATGTTTTTAGGTGTTCACAGAGTATGAAAAGCTGCTGCATTCTGATAATTATGTCACCAAACGGCAGTCTCTGAAGGTGAGCATAAACCGCTGTTTTCACAGGGTTGTTTTCAATAATTCAAGGCTGTAATGGTATTCTAACCCTTGAGGTGGAGAATAAGCTACTAGGATCTATACATGAAAGATAGCTGAAGAAAAGCGAGTTCTCAGAAAGACACTTCTTTGTAACTTGAACAGCCACATATTTTAATAGGAAAGCCACATATTTTGTCTTCACATAGGAATGTTTTATGACAAACCTTGCTTGGTTTAATAAAAGCAGCAATATGTTGAGTGGTTTGGCTTCATTCTTACCACATAGTTTTGTTATTGTTCTTACGTGAGTTATAAGTGACTATCAAATGATATCCAGCTCTTAGGAGAATTATTACTGGACAGACACAACTTCACAGTCATGACCAAATACATCAGTCGAGCTGAGAACCTAAAGCTGATGATGAACATGTTGAGAGACAACAGCCGTAACACCCAGTTTGAAGCCTTCCATGTCTTTAAGGTATGTGTTTATATGCACAGCGTTTCATGTAACATAATATATTTGGATTTGGCACTTCGCTTGTCTACCTTTCCCTCTGTCTACTCCAATTACTTTCCACACTTGGCAGCTGACTGGTCTTCTGTCCCAGTTCTGGCCTCACTTATTGAATGTAAACAGGTCAGGGTCAGTCACTAGTGTGTGAGCTGTAGTTCAGACCGCATGAAGGTGGATTCGGTGACTTGGACCGCAGTTTTAACGGGTTTCTTGTGTCCTCTCAGGTGTTTGTGGCTAACCCCAATAAGACACAGCCTGTGCTGGACATCCTCCTCAAGAATCAGTCCAAGCTGGTGGACTTCCTGAACCACTTTCAAACGGACCGCTCTGAAGATGAGCAGTTCTGCGATGAGAAGAACTATCTCACTAAGCAGATCCGGGACCTCAAACGGCCTGCACCTGCAGAGGAGTCCTAATGGGTAGAACCGGGGAACTCAGCTAGTGATGTGGTTTGATTATGTGGGTGAGAATTGGATGGGAGGAACAAAATAAGTCAAAGACCGAAAGAAAGGCTGGCATCACTTGGAATAAATCTCTTTACATCCAACTTCTGAAACAGGTAGAGAAATGCTGTCAGGATGTGCAAACATATGTCTGTCCCTTTACTTGGGGGGGCGAGCAGGTTTTTGCTGCAGGAGCAAGTGGACCCCAAGCACTCCATTTAAACCTACATATTTAGCACTGCCCTTAAAAAGGAAGTACAGTTGATTTACCTTTTAGATGGTAAATCTTCGATTTAAAAAAATTTATTCAAATTGCTTAGAATGAAAAGTATATTGAAAGCCTGCTCAGGCCTTTTTAACATTTTTAAAAGTAAGAACATGTATATTGGTACAGGTATGGCTTTGCATATTTGCACTGAATCTGGTAGCTTTGCTCCAGGTAGGCCATTAGTGCCACTTCATAAACCAAATATTAACGATAGGTCATAAATACAGGACATTATGGGGCCTTCTTTCAGCACACAAACACAAATTCATCTGGACATTCTCACATTTAAACTAGTCAAGGGACATTAAAGCGTTTTATAGCCTGAAAATGTCATGTGGTCAAGTGAAATCTTGGGGGGAAAAATAGCCTGTAGAGTTTAGTGGTCATGTTGGATGCTGCACTCAATTTCCATTTTAACTGGGTGCCTTATTTAAGTAGGTTGGTCATTCTGGGTCTTCTATTACATTTATATTTATCTATAACATTGGATTTGTAGTATTATTCTGCTTTTGCTTGAGTTAACACCTTAGGAGGATTAGTTTTATTTAAACTATTTAAAAATATGAAATGATAAAAAACAATACTCATTTAAAGTTTTCTCAGTTTAGATGAACCATGCAATGCATTCAGGGTTCATAGATTTCAGTACATGATACACGGTGCTTGTTTACAGTGCAAGACACGATAACCTCCACACACACTGTAACACTGAAAGGATGTGAAATGCTAGAGCTGGGACATGTCATGACATTCCTCAGATGCGCTTTGATAGACCGCTTAGAAAAGCTAATTAAGTCTTTAAAAGATGGATGCAGTAGGAAAGAGCATTTAACACAGTTCTTGTGTCCTGCACTGTCAAACTTGAATGAGCCAAAGTTGTGGTAACATGTTATAGACCTAGAATTTGGTTCTTCTATGGATTCTTTCTTTCAGTACCTCTTGGAAGTTTTAGATAAAATGCAGAGCGGGATTCTACTGAAAGGTTCCATTAGTCTTTATACCTTAAGTTGAATATATTTTATGTACTCTGTTTGCACAAGTTCCTTTCTTATATACCTCATAGGTTTTAAATTCCTAAGTGCTGTTTTCCCCCCCGCTTTGTTTCAATAGATATTGTGGGGAAACTTTACAGTATGGTTGAGTTCATTAACGTTAGTAAATGCATTTATTAATTTTGGTTAATTTCTATATATACATTTTAAGTTGCATACATGAACATTAGTTGATTTGAATTAATGAATTAATAATGAACAATAGCATATTCATTATTAATTAACATTAACTTCATGTTCATGGTACTGAATGCATTAACTAATGTTAACAAATCAAACCTTAGTGTAAAGTGTTTCTGGTATTATTTTGGATGTGGGGCGGTAGTTTGAATTATGCAAGCTCATATAAGACCTTACAACATGCCAAAGTTGTGGTCTTGTAATGCTGAATAGGACGTACAAGGGAAACGATTAAATTTGTTCAGTTTGCTAATGAGTACACAGAATGTCAGGAGTGTGAGGAAAGCACTTGCCGTGCTTGTGTAAATGAGCCAGTTTGACTAAAAGGTTTTTAATGGATTCCTCCAAATGTCAATGTGTGCTTGTGCTTTGATATCGTTTCAGCCCGCTCATCACCAGAAGCAAATGTTTTTGTGAAAGTATGACTTGTGCATGTGGAACTTTATTGTAAGTATTTAGGATGTGAAAAACCTTCTGAGCTGCCTTTATTTGCTTTTATAAACTGCATCATGTGTGAATTCACAAAGCCTTTGTGTTGAACGGTGGCCCAGACTGATTCAGTCACCTTTTCCCAAAAGATCTACAGCTATCGATAACCAAATATTTCCGCCGTTTCATTAAATGTCACTTGATACCACATGTGCAAGAATGGGTATTTGGCCAAATGTGATTATTCCGCTAACAGGGTTTTTGTCCTTAAGTTCATTGAAGCTTTGAGGCTTTAGATTGTCCATGCAGTGATGGTGATCTCTGACAAAGAGATTCAAAATAATATGTTAGATCTTTGGTAAATTATTATGGTGGATTGTATAGCCTACACCTTAATTATTTGCAGTTTGACTGATAATGTTTGCTATGCTTTTCACTGTTTTCACTCATTTTTCCTATGAGATTTCTGTTATATTTTCCACTGTGGGAGAGGATTGTATATGTACATAAAGTTTTATTTTGAAAAAAGAGAAAGCGTGGAGGCATATTGAAAATAAAATAAACAGTGGCACTTCTTGTGTGCGGTAACATCAATTTTGTCTTTATTTAAAAAAAGATTTAAATGGCTGCATTTTAAGTCACAGTTTTATTATTGCAATAAATTATTGGCTGCTAAAGTGTCTGCGTAAGAGCTCAAGGGCTGTACGGCTCCGTGCGTGACTCTCTCTCTCTGCGCACAGGTCAGCTCGGGTCTGCTTCACCTCTCTCTGAAGCTTCAGGAGCACAGCCTCATTTTCTATCCGAGCTGCTTTTCCCAGTCTGTCTCCTTCAGATTTGCATTGCGCTTGCGCTCTTTCCAGTTCCCACGCGAGGTTGGAGCGCTCCTGCACGATCTGCTGCACGTCCTCTTTTGCTTTCCTCAGACTTGTCTTCCACCTGTCTGCCTCTTCTTCCGTTTCCCTGACCTGTATAGTCAGCTTCTGTAACTGAGCGTTCATTTTTTGGCTCTCTGACTTCAGATCATTTATCATGAGGGCCTGACGCGCAGCCCTTTTTTTGGAAAGGCTTAACTGTTCCTCCAGCTTCTCCACCAGGCCTTGCAGCTTCATCCTTTCCTCATGTTCTGCTTTAAGCTGCTCCTCTGAACAACTGAGCTGTCGCTTTAGTCGCCATCTGCCCCTCTCCACTTCTTCTAAACCAGCCCGCAGTTTGGTGATGTCCCTCTCATTCCAAATGCACCTCTGTCCCGCAGTCTCGCTCTGGTCGGTAGGATTTTCAGAGGTCTCTCCTTCATCGACAGGTCTAATAATTCTCTTCGCTAGGGCCTCCTTCTTGTGCAGTCGCTCAGTTTGCTGAACCTCTTTCAAAGCTTTCAGGTATATCTCCCTTCTGTGGCTCCTCTGGGGTTCATCTATGTCTGTGGAGAGGGCTGATGGTGGTTTCATTGAGCTACTGCATTGTTTGTTTGTGTTGGTCTGGTTTTCCAGCAGGTTTTGGAAAGTGAAACGAGGAGGGAAGATTTCCTCCACCCAATGATGGTCATCTCTGGAGCTGGACTCGTGTGCAGTGTTTTGATAATTCATTTCCATGGTCCTCGTAACTAAACTGTTTGAGCTTCATTAAAACGTGAGGAACAGCGTAACGTACTATTTAAGGGCACTTCATTTTCAAACCCCTCTTCTTTCACCAGTTACAAGCAACCGCAGGTCGTTTAAAACCGTTAGAGCTTTTTTTTAAATGTCCGGCATTGATGAAACGTGCAAAATTGTAGGTATAAGGCGATTGTATATACATTTTATATTAGCGGTTCATACTTACAACAACGTCGTTGACTACGGTCTCTTGTCAGCGCAACTTCCTGTTTTCATGCAGGAGAGCGCGACGAACACTTTGCGCCCCCTGCTGGTTGAGTTTAAACGCTTGTTACATTCAATTATCTATGCAAGTGTATTTTCCATTTGTGACCCTGGACCACAAAACCAGTCATAAGTGTCAGTTTTTTTAATATATAT